CCTTCGCAAACAACGCGATGCTTAGAACCACATACCTTTGGGAAGCGACAGGTCGTCGTTTGCTGTAGATTTGTACGAGTCAGCATGTAATTGTATTGCGCCAAGAAAGTAAGGCTGAGCACGTACAACTGAACTCTCGATCCGACATGGTCGACGAATGATGTGTGAGAGGAAGAGAAAAAAAAAGGGGTGGGTAGGAGGTAGTCCCGCGCTCGGTGAAGCTGTTCTTCACAAGAAGTATGGCTCGTCCACCGCGCGCGGGGACTAGGATGGTCTAAATAGCTGTGAGGGCCAAATTCCCGGCGGCGCGGAGGGACTCGAACACGGAACGGAAGAACTAGACTAACAGTCTGGGCAGAATCCTACCGCCCTCGTGGGTTTTTATTCGGCGCCGCAGCTTCGATTTTTTTTCTTTGCTTCTTCATTCGCACAGTGCCCTTCGCACAACAAGGAAACTTGATTTTGGCTTCCTGTTCCAAGTTTTTGCTCCGGCCAACCTTTGTTGGTCAAATACAACAACAATGGACTAACATAAATGGTATGTTTCTTCTTCGTTTTCCCTTTCGCTCCCACTTTACTATGATGAACATCGTTGTCGCCCCTATCAGACCATTCTATGGTGACGTACACTGTCCAAGCCAAACGGACTACTGATATCCTTGCAAAATCTGCATTTTGTGATCGCTCAGAATCTTTCAGGAATTCTTTACTGACTGACTTGAAGAACTTTTAGGCAATTTCGATTTGAGATTCGATACCAAAGATATTGATATAATGAAATCGATTTTTTTTTTCTGTTTACAATCTCTTTTGTAAAATTTCTCCCACAATAGAATAGCTTAAGGTATGCTTTTGCAATTCTCCTTTATACCCCCCCTGTTATGTGATGAACAACCTACATTCCATGCTAAGTATGAAGGTGTGCTACACCTAATGCTTCTAAAATGTACCTGCTTTTCATCTTTCGGCTGATCAAAACAACTCTATCTTGATTCTTGTTCTATGGATTTCTTTGATAGTAGTATATGCTGACTGGCTTTCTAAAGTGGACGCAGGATTCGAGTGTAGATCTATTCCTGGAAATTCTTCAGGAGGGCGTCGTTCCAGCTGGGAGACGCATGTTAGTTAGAATTTCACACAATGGCAGATTTTTCCCCCACAACTTACTTCAAGAATTTTCCGGTCAACGAGCTCGGGGCATCCAGCACCAGCTTGGCCATGACATGGCTTGGTTGCTCCACCTTGAGCAGCTTGCCGCTCTCGTAGGCTCCTGTGAACTTGGCGTGCACCTGAGGCTCCAGTGTTGTAGCATGGTCCTCGCGCAACTGGCGCTGCATCTCGGTGTCAACCATCCCGGGGCGGATGGAAATGCTGGTGACATCGGGTTCCTCCTCGCCCAGGGTCAGGGCAAGGTGGTTCATGGCGGCCTTGGTCGCACCGTAGAGACCCCATCCCCTGTAGGCGGACACTGCGGCACCCGACGAGGTGAAGATGATCTTGCCCTTAGACTCCCGCAATGCTGGAAGACCGGCCTTGACCTGATTGTCGTGGGCTGCGTGTTAGCTCGCTACCGGGGCTTCGCTGTTCCATTTCCATGCAAGCAACTCACAAATGCGACCAAGCTCATGAAGTTGACATCGAATCCTTGCTTCCACTGTGTCGGGTCGGCTTCCGCAACCTTGCCGACTTGTCCGAGGATGCCGTGGTTGAGGACCATGCCGTCCAGACGGCCAAAGGTCTTGAGCGCCAGGTCGACTGACTTTTGTGCGAGGGAGAAGTCGGACAGGTCGCCGTTCAGGACCGCGACTTGCTGGGAGTATTGATCCTTGAGCTTCTGGAGGGGCTCCACGCTGCGGGCGATCACGACGACATTGTGCGATTGCGGCGCAGTGAGGAGGTACTTCGCAATGGCGAGGCCGATGCCTATAATAGAGATGAAGTGTCGGTCAGGACGGAGCTACTGGCTCGCGGGGGCATCAATTACCTCTCGAGGCACCGGTGACAATGATGGTCTTGCTCGACATTCTTGGGGGATCTAATTAGGTTGGTGTGACACGAGGAAGGCAAGAAGAACGTGCGGGGTGCCAGGCTGATTGGAGTGAAGCTGCAGCAGACACTCCGCGGAAGAAAAAAAAGCTGATCCCTGGGGCGGTGATGTAATTGAGGGGAACGTGGGGGTGGTTGTTGTTGTTCTGCCCGCCGCGGCTCGCTTCTGCTTCTTACTCCTTGATCCGTACCTGGGTGCATGACTACCTTCAAGGTTACAGTAAAGTAGAGTGCCTTCAATGGCAATTGTATCCTACATGACTCGAATGAGGATTGCTGGTTTCGGTCTCAATTCAAGAGGCAGATTTACTAGTACTACCGGTACCCTATGTATGAGAGTCCTAGAACAGCCAGGATGAGTTGCCACCCGGCCCATTGGCAATCGGCGGAAGGCTCCCAGGCTAAGAAACATACTATGAGTACCTTATGTATACACATGCAACAATGACAGTGATAGACTTGACAATGCCTGGTAACTCAATCATCCATAGCTTGTGATAGACAGACGGCCGTAACTTTGTGGCCAAGTGACCGAATACGGGTGCATTGGTTATGCACAACATCTGCAGCGCAAGACATATCTTGTCTACTTGCACTGCAGTTTGCTATCTGTCTTACGTGATCAATCTGCAACTGAATTCCTGGCGTTAGCTACTATATCTACAATGTGATCATGCAACAGCATCGGTCACTTCACCGAGCGCAAACGGCAGAATGATTTACCGCGGAAAACGGGTTCCAAACCTTGTTACTCCACTCCGGAGCGCAAGGCCGAAGTCGGGGCCCGGGGGGACTCCATGCTCACAGTGTTGCACCATCTGATTTGATGCTCATTATTGGCTGTGGCAATTGACGATAGTTGTACACCGGGCCGGTTCCTGGTGAGCAGCCGGTCTGGTATCTGATAAGGTCATTTTGTTGCGATAGATTATCAAATAGTCTGGTCTACCCCGCGAGATCTATATGGAGACATTCTCCATAAAGTGATCGGTTACCTGGGACAGAGTTCTATAGCCAGTGCTCTTGACTTGACCTATACACACTGCAACCGTCAACTATCATACAAAACTCTCATCTCTCACCATGGCAACAGTCATTCTTGGAGGAGGAATCATAGGAACCTCCATCGCCTATTACCTCTCCGAAGGCCAATCTGCAAAGAACATCCATGTGGTGGACTCCTCCTCCGAGCTCTTTTGTTCTTCGTCCGGCTATGCTGCTGGATTTATGGCCAGGGACTGGTTTGCCCCTTCTCTCGCACCATTGGGAGACCTTTCATTCAAGCTACATGAGTCCTTAGCTGCCGAGAAGGACGGCGCAGAGAAATGGGGATATATGAAAGGCAGTGCACTGAGCCTGGGAGTTGCAGCGAAGAAGGGAGGCAAACGTGGGGATGATTGGCTTCGCACAGGAACCAGCCGGGCAGAAACCGCAGCTGGATCAGAGCCACTCATTGCAGAGCCACCGTCGTGGTTGACAAAGCAGCATGGGGCCGAGACGCTGAAGATTAGTGAGGATGATGATACTGCTCAAGTGTAAGTGAATAATCCCCTTTTCTCTTCCACCGAAGCTATGACCTAACGTCATTAGTGATCCCCTGAGACTGTGCAAATTTCTCCTAGAGGCTTGCGTTGAACGAGGAGTCAAGGTTCACAATCCCGCAAAAGCTGTGTCTATTCTGCAAGGGAAAGATGGATCCATCACGGCTGTCAAGACTGTGAATCTTGAAACGAAAGCTGAATCTACAATCGCTTGCTCGAACCTCATCCTCTGCGCCGGTCCGTGGACACAGCGAGTCTTGCAGGAGTTGTTCCCCGCGTCTCAAGTTTCGCTCCCCATCTGTCCCTTGGCTGGCTACTCGCTGGTTCTACGCTCCCCACGGTACACCGTGGAGCACGAGCAAACGACATACAAGGGCCGGAGCCAGGCCCTGTTCACAACATACCCCCCGAACTGTGGCTTCTGCCCGGAGCTGTTCTCGCGACAGGGAGCAGAGGTCTATATTGCAGGCTTGAATACGAGGGATATACCCCTTCCGGAAAGAGCAGACGACTACCCCAAATCGATGGAGCAGAAGGAGATGGACAGGCTTAAAGCCGTTTCTGTCCGTCTTCTTGGAAAACTTGCGAAGGGCAGCTCTGAGGCTACCGATGAGATCACGAATACTGACGACTTGGAAGTCATCCGCGAAGGGCTGTGCTTTCGGCCCGCTTCAGAGCGCGGAACTCCTTTCGTTGGAAAGATCAATGAGAATCTGTTAGGAAAGAGCATTAAAGCCGCCGGAGGAGTGTACGTTGCGGCGGGCCATGGCCCCTGGGGCATTTCGCTTAGTCTAGGAACCGGCAAAGTTATTGCTGAGATGGTGAAAGGTGTTGAACCTTCGGCGGATGTGAGCGGTTTAGGTGTGAACAAAGTGGAAAGAGGGTCGAAGCTGTAATTTGATATTTACTGATTTAATTCCTGTTGCAACCCTCGGCAGCTAGTTTATGAAGATTGAACACACGGCTTTGGAACATTTAAACAGTTATTACCCTAGATTGAGATTCAGGAACATCACCGTGAGGCTTACATATATTATCAACCTATCTTTAACCCCTACGTTACAATCTAGTTTTAACCTTAAAACTATGAAATGCTATATGAAAGTGTTCGCAACCATTTCGCAGCCAGCTTACATTCTTCACCTCTGGGGTCCTTTTTCCACTCGGTAAATTCGAGAGAAACAGAAATAACCCCAGAGTTTACAACTATTATTAGCAGGTATATATAGTATATCGAAGCCGTTTCCTGTAGTTGGTCTAGATAGTTGATGCCAGCGATTGTAGCCTGAGGCACCAGAATCTTCTCCGGGCTTAGTCATTCTCACCGCCACGAGCTCGAGCTGTCCAGAAACTTCAATGAGAAGCTGGGGAAACCGTTCAGGAACAAACAACTCTGCCTCCGTGCCCTCGCGCGTTCATCTTCCTCACTTACTCTTACACTCCCTTACTTGATCTCTGAGCATCTACTCGCGTTTCTCTTCAGCCAACCTACCTAATCTCAGGATCATCGCCTCGGCGCATCACATAACACCATGGCTAACTACCTCGCCTCCATTTTCGGTACAGAACAAGACAAGGTCAACTGCTCCTTCTACTACAAGATCGGTGCCTGTCGACACGGCGATCGCTGCTCGCGCAAGCATGTCAAGCCCTCGTACTCGCAGACCATCCTGATGCCGAACATGTACCAAAATCCCGCCTACGACCCGAAGAACAAGATGAACCCGAGTCAGCTGCAGAACCACTTTGATGCATTCTATGAGGATGTGTGGTGTGAGATGTGCAAGTACGGCGAGTTGGAGGAGCTGGTTGTTTGCGATAACAACAATGACCGTATGTTTGGCCCCCTTCCCAAGCCTCCCTCCGCAAAGCTTTGGACTGCCTCAAATGACTAATGCCTGGATTTTCGCCAACAGACTTGATTGGCAACGTCTACGCCCGCTTCAAGTACGAGGAAGACGCACAGGCCGCCTGTGATGCGTTAAACTCCCGATGGTACGCAGCGCGACCGATATACTGCGAGTTATCACCGGTGACGGACTTCCGGGAAGCGTGCTGTCGGTTAAATAGCGGGGAAGGCTGCGTTCGTGGCGGCTTTTGCAATTTCATTCATCGCAAGGATCCCAGTAATGAGCTAGATCGGGAGTTGCGGTTGAGTACGAAGAAGTGGCTGAAGGAACGGGGACGCGATGCTCGGAGTGTCAGTCGCAGTCCCAGCCCGGAGCCCACCCGGCGGAGATACTAGGTTGTTGTTCTTGTTCGTTTGTGGGGGAAAAGGGTCCATGAGCTTTGGGATTCGTCGCTTCTTCTCTTTTTTTTTTCTTTCTTTCCATTTCTCTTAATCATCATCTGTATAACGATTTGTGGCGTTTATCGGGGAAGTCTGAACCTCATCATGACATTGTCACTTGTATTTTCGATTCCCATTCTTTTTTTTTTTTTGCTTTGGACTTGGTTGTCTTCTTCATAGTACCATGATGTCTAAGCTTTATCGCGATGCTAGTGCATTAATCTGGAATGAGATAATCATATCATAGACCCAAACCTGTCCGTATTCACTACAACTAAGACCATGGGGGCTTTTGGCGGGTAGCCTTTCTTCCCCCCAAAATCAATACTACCGAACGCGGGGAGCGCGTGCCGCATCGCGTCTTCCGCAGTTCTTTGTCCCCTCAATTTTCTTTTGTTAGTCCTAAGAACATAAAACAGCTCTGCTTCCATTCCTTCACCATCTCTACATGAACCTAGGCTCATTCAGAAGCTGTCCCAACCTTCTTTCATAACGATGGTCCGAGAAACCGGCCCCTACAATTACAATGACACCAACCGCGCCTTTCTCCAGGCCTTCATGGGCCGCTCGACCATGACCTTCGAGGAAGCCAAACCCGTATTAGCTGCGATCTTCTCAGCGCATGGTACAGCCCCTCGTCCCTATCTGAAGTACAGCCAGTCACATTATACTGTCTTTTAAGCCAGTGGAGCGATACTGACTGACCCTACTTCGATAGAGAAACAACCCGTCTCCCCCGAGGAAATCACCGAGGACGAACTACAATCCTACATCGCGACCGCTAATAACGCCATCTCGCCCTTCGACCTCGAGATTCGCAGTACCCTAGCGCAGATAGAAGTTGACCCGAGCCAGACGACGGCCGTGCCCCCGCCGGAGCGGGTGTATGCGCTGGTGAACACGACGAGCGACGCGCTGACGCAACTGGCGACGACGTACTCGGCGGACGAGATCGCCTACGTCAAGCGGTTGCTGGATGCAATGTTCGAGACGCATAACACGCGCCGCTGCGAGGCGATGGCGGTGAGTGGCATGCAGGCGTTGCAGCTGGCCAAGGTTTCCGGGGACGGCGGCAGCCAGAGGAGAGAGTCCGGGTTGCAATCGCAGACGACGCTCACGCAGGGTGCCACGCAGCAGCCGGACTCGCAGGCGGTCGGTGGGGTGGTGCAGTCGTTGACGATGTCGCAGGCGGAGGCGTTGCTGAAGAAGTTGGTCGAGGAAGGGTGGTTCGGGAAGAGTGGCAAGGGGTTTTATAGCCTCAGTCCCCGGGGCTTGATAGAGCTGCGGGGGTGGTTGGTGGCGACGTATAATGACGAGGCGGAGGGGATTCGGAAGATCAAGTTCTGTGCTGCGTGCAAGGATCTGATCACTGCGGTGAGTTTCTGTTTTGCGTCTCTGATACGCGCCGTAACGATGTGGCATGGGATAAAGGCTGACTTGGCGCTGGGGATAGGGTCAAAGGTGTGGTGACCGAGATTGTCTGGGAAGATTGCATGATCATTGCATGCACCACTTCTTCCGGTCTCAGCAGGCTGAGGTCTGTCCGGTGTGTAAGGATACCTGGCCGGGTAACAAGTTCGTCGGCGAGAGAGCAGTCACACAGTCTGATCAGGAGCTGCACGCCCGGAGAAGAAGGAGCTCGAATACCCAGCGGCCGAGTGATGCAGCTGGGTCTAGCACCCAGCTTGAACTTACACCCGTGGAGGAAGATGAAGGCAGTGACTGAAGAACGCGGACATCTTGGAATCATAAATGATCTCCTGACACCCCGCACATGCGAAGACATACCGCCGACCAAGTACTGCACTTCGCATGTCTGGCATTCGGGCTTTGCTCTTCGAACCTAACTCCGAAGACCTTCACAACATCCCGAGCGAGCCATGCAAATGGTTGCGTGCGTGGGAGCGCTGCTCGATCAGACAGTTGCCTAACGAGGCTGAGCTGTTTATCCTGACTTTGTCTCGAAACTATAGAAGCAATGCCACCGAAAATGCAGCAAGCAATGCATCCAGCATCCAGCCCCTGCGATACAAGTCCGACTTTGACTTCGGAAGCTGTATACAGAACATGGATATCACTTCGCTTACAATGAATAGTATTATTATAAGATACCATGCGACGAGTTTCTGTTAACTGACTACGCTTTCGGATTTTGTGAGATGAATTGAGTTCACTCAACAATGGAGCTTCCAGTATATCTCACAACGAGGTTCAAGGTTCCAAGTGGCAGCTTCCAGAAGGAGCAACTGTAGCCCGCCGTTCGGTAAATATTTCCTGGCCTTCGCAGAAGCATCATAAGCATTACAACCATCATCATTATTATTACTAGTATCAATCATCTTTTCTATTTTGTCTTTGCTCTGCTCTACAAAACAGCGATGTTGACAGATTCGATTTCTCGAACCAAGGTACTCAATCGCTCGAGGTTCTACAGTATACTTTCCGCCTGGCGAAAGATCCCAGTATCTGCAGCAGGGAAACTGGTCATTGGGGGTGTGTTGATCAGTAGTGGTCTACTGGCATATTGGTATCTGAAAGGACAGCAACGGAATGAATACACGCATCAGAGGCCTACGGCGAGCAAAACCGTCCAAGACGCGAAGTTTCGACTTTCGACAGACTGCCATTACATATCTGCCAGCGAAGCTGACGAGCGGCTACGTGCTCACCAAGCACGTCTCATAAGTCCTCGGCTTGTGTCATGCGGTGCTGACTGTCGACTATATCGAGTGAGCCATGGAAGTCATATCGAGGGTTCTCTAAGAGGCTATCGTGCGGCCGCACCCTAGACTTTTGGGCCATCTACAACGACCACATGTAAGCAGCCCTTCGAGAGACCGCTCTGACAACAATTTTTCTGACCTGGTGAACAGCGACGTTCCCTTGCGCGATCATCTTTCGGAAACATTGATTCCCTCTGTAGCATGTGAGCTGGATGAGGTGTACTCAACTGAACCATTACCAGACGATGAATCACTGAGGCAAGCCATACGGCGTGGGTTTGGGGCTGAGAACAATAGTCGGATGGCCACCTTATTGCGTCCTCGGCAAGAACTTCCTCAGCATACGGCCCCAGACTCACAAATCACACCAGCAGCTGCACCTCTTTCGGGTGCGAAACAAGCCCAGGAGGAAATCAGCCATAAGGCAATAAAGTTGCATACCGCACCACCCCCTCAATTTCCAGGGGCTACGCGTGACTCCAAGAAGGAGCCCACCCGGCGATGTGCTTTGCTATTAGTCTAGGGCATCAAGATTGTGTTTTGCATGTGGCATCAACCGGTAATTGTCGCGCAGTACTGGCTCGCCGCAGTAGGCGAAGGGGAGAATCATGGACGGCCACGGTGATCCCTGTGGACCAGCACTGCGTCAATACCGCCGAGCAAATGCACGCTAACTTTGTGCATCCAGGAGGGTCGTAAGTGCTTAGAATCTGGCCGCTTCTGGGTACCCTCGGACTCTTAAGGGGCCCCAAAAATTTGCCTGGAGCGCACAGCTCGGATGATGGTGCCCGGACGATTCCCAGACCGACTATCTTGCAACTCACCCCTGAGCCACTGGTGACTAGTGTTGAGATTGAGCCTGAAAGTGGGATTTCGTTGTAATGGCCTCGGGTAGACTCTGGGAGTGCTTAAGTACCGCGGAAGTTGTAGCACTGGTAGGACGATGGATTGACGAGCCGGAGAACATAGGGACTGAGGAGGGTCGACAAGGATGGTCCAAGTACATTAAGTGGGTGGGCTTGAGAACAGTGTCCAATCGTGTCCTGACCGGCCAAGGAAAATTGTCCCAAAGAACTTTTAACCTCGCGAGTCCAGATGAAAAGTTCGTATTGGAGGACGGAAATGCCGCATCTCATCTTATCCGGAATGCTCTCGGAGGGAGGCTGCAGAGCCAGCCCTTGAGTGCTTGGATCAGGTTTTCGCTTCTGTGTGGCAGGGGGTATCCTGCTGACATGACAGCCTCGGTTGTTTTCTTTGGTGGCAGACCCAGAGATGTGGGTGCAAGGATCAGAGGTCTGGCGGAACTAGCAGTTGGATGCAGGGGTTTGATTGCAAGGTTGCTCGTTGACATCGCAATGAGGTGTGCTGAATTCGCTCAAGTATTGGCTCTAGGTTAGTGATGGACTTAGTATAGAATCGATCGTAAGAATTATCTCCTTCATCTCGTGTGTCCTTCCCTGACCGACTCATTGTTCGTTATACCAATGGTGGTTTTGCTCTCAACGCTGAATGGCCTTCATACATCCATGCTGACGAGACGGGTTATGCACGTCTATACGTACCTGCCCCAATCGAGGTGGTCCACACAACCCGATTCTCGCTGGTTCAATAGAGGAGAGGGGGGATTAAATTCTCAAGCGTGCAGGCGCAAAGAGACCAGCGTCTGGAGCCTCTCATGCAAAAGCAAAAAAAGAAATCTCCCCGACTGGGAGTCGAACCCAGGTCTCCCGCGCTTGTTCCCAGGTGGGATTGACAAGCGGAAATCATGACCGTTAGACCATCGAGGATCGGAGGATGTATTCTCTGAATTAGATCAATTACATAACCCTGATGTTATGTCAGAGTGTGGCATTCGACCATGCTGACTTGTACTATCTTTGCATTCCGGTCTTCTCCAAATACCGATTAGACAAATCTAAATATTCGAAATCAATTCATCAGCCAGCGTCCACCTTTCTCACTTCAGTAACCATGCTATGCTCTGCAGCATCATCGTGCATTTACTCTGCCACTTTCATCCTTGTACGCTGCATATCCCGCGCAGCTTCCCAAGCCAAACAAACAAAACCTTCCACACCCACCGAAGACACTTGGGAAAGGTTCGCCTGAGGCTTGATCGGACCCAGTTCCTGCGGTGCGTACCATGGAGCAGCGGACCCGTACTACCATACATGCTGATCTGCTCCTGATTGGTGGTCGCTCCACTGCGTGCCGAGATCCCAGCCAGCGAGCCCGCCTATCATCATTTTCCTTAGCATCTACTCAGATCTATAGACAGGAGATATCTGCTTTGACAATAAAATTGTTGTATCTAATCGAAAGGAATACGTAAATGGTCCAGCTCCAACAAACAAAGCGCTACCTGCACACACACTACGACAATATATCACACGGTCCTGCCCCGATGGCAGAGCCAGGCACTAGTATATACAGCCCAGCAAGTGCAGCAAGTGGAACCCCGACGATCTCAGATCTAAATCCGTTTCCTGCTCTAGATCAACTTAGTGTACATTCCCCTGTTGATCTCTATCTATATTCTAGAGGGTGGGAACCGCTCGGGTCCAGTGTGCTGACTTTTCGCTTCATCAAGCCCAGCCCATGCGTGCTTCTTTGCTGCTTGCTCAAGTTGTCTGCTTATTGCTCTTCTCAGCAATCGTTCTTCGTGCCAACAGCCACTGTTTGCTTTCTGCTATCGAAAATTAAGTCACTCATTACAATTGTTGCAGTATCCAGTCGCTCGTTACTTCGAATTCATTAATCCATCCTATTCAGTATCAACACTCTGTCTCGAAAACCAACAGTGCAGTCATTCCCTAAGACTTAAACAAAGCAACCAAATATACCAACAGCGTCTGACCGTGAGCCCCTTGCAAAATCCATCCCAGAGAATCAACCATCTAACCTCAAAACGAATGCAGTAATAACACTCGCAGCTAGAGCACCGTCTAGATCCCAGCCCAGAGCACACAAACCCACCAAACCCACCAAGCCCCCCAAACAAACAAGACAATGCACCTCCTCTCCCCCCTCAGCCTCAGCCTCAGCCTCCTCATAACAACAGCAACCACCTTCATCCACCAAGCAACCGCCTCACCAACATCGCACACCCACTCCCAAAACCACGCCCAACGATCCCCGCACCTACCAACCCAAAACAACCACCGCCGCACCTTCTCCCTCCTTCCAACCTTGAACCTCAACGCCCTCGACCTCACCAAACTTTCGAACATCGATCTCACCAACCCCAATAGCAACGGCGAAGCGCTGGACACGCTGAACGAGGTCCTTGACACGCTGCCGCTGGCGATCGAGTTCTGGGCCCTGAACCGCACCGCCGGGGTTGTGGGGATGAGTCTTGATATGGGATTGGCGGAGTTAGCGGATATTGGGCTGGTGAGCCTCGGAAAGCAGGGGGCCGGGTCGCGAGGGAGGAATGCCAAGGTGCATGTTAATGTTACTATTACTGGGCTTGTGGATTAGGATCTAATGGGATCTGCTCAGTGATTCTGGGTCTAGCAAATGGACTACATAATAAATAGGTGGTTGTGTTGGATGGATTTGAGTCCTGGACTGTACATGTAGCCTTGGTGTCCGTCTGGGCAATAAACCGTAAAGGGATGCGCATGTCTGCAGTGTTGCTTCGCCGGGCTCAAGTATCCACCACTATCCACCGTCTCTCTGACTCCCTATCTTAGTTCGAGATAGAAGGGGAACGCAGTCTCACTATGCTGCTTGCATCTTTCCAAAGTCTTCCGGCACCTTCCAGTTGTGAATGCTACACATCCTGATGAATGCGTTGACGGCCTCGCGCCAGGAGTAATCGTGCTTCTGGTGAGCATCCAGGCGGGCCGGGTACGGGTCCTTGGATGAAATGAGGAGCCGCACCTGCAACAGGACGCTCTCCATGCGATACAGCGGATTCCAGCCGGAGCTGGTGAGCAGGTCCATACAGATGGCGCCTCCGGCGGTGACATGGCCCCCTCCGCCGGCCGCGAGCGGCACAAACCGTGGTCTGACGACGCGAACGAATGGGGGAGAGTACGGGAATGAGGGCGGGAACCGGATTTCCAGGAGAATGCACTTGTCTTCGGTGGCGGCCAGGTCCCGTGCCAACGGTAGGCTGGGATCGAAACTGTGCAGAGCCACGAGCCACTGGTACGGATTGTCAACCCGTTCGGGATCGATGTACCAACCAAGCTCAGCCAAGGAGCCGCGCGCCTGGAGCGCTGCGGTGGCTCCCAACTCCCGCATCAGTCTTGTGGTGGCCTGCGAGGTGGCGTCGCTAGGAGGGGGCAATAGCTTGATATTGGCGGATCTTAACACGCGCAGCATCTTCACCGCCAAGGGGTCGAGGATCACGCAGTCACTGTCATCGTCATTTCCTTCGAGCAGGCGGCGATCCTCATCGAGGGTCGCGTCGCTCTCATAGCCAGCGTCCAATTTGCGACCACTACCACCATCACCACCGACTGAGGTTCTCTGTGCTTGAGAAAGATGAGTCCGTACCCCGGATAGAGGAATTGTGACTGGTACGTCATTCTGACCGAGAGCCGTTCGCTTGGGATCCTGCACATAGACGTCTTTTAGAATCTTGCGGCTGCTAGTATTCGCCGCGGGCCTGGAGCATTTCACAAAAAGGTACCGAGGCATGATCCATGATATCTCCTGCACCACATACGGCGATGTGCACTTGAACTGCTCTGGACAGTTGACAACCTCGTTCAATGAGATTGCCATCGTAATCCCTAGCTTGCTCGACGGCCAGGACCCCTCGGCGCCATCCCTTATAGAGTAGCCATCAGAGAGCCGGAAGTCCCGGGCTAGATACACCCCATCCCCGAAACTTCTCCCATTGCGACATTGCTCGAAGTGTAGGCCCTGTCGAAGGATACTATGCCAGCTGCTGACTGGGGATCCATGCCAAGCAAAGAGAGTGGGATATTGCTTCTTCGACGCTTGGACCTCTCGCTCAATCGCCTCCACGAATTCCTGCTCCTTGTCTGGGGTCCCTTGAGCGAGTCGAAACTGCATGTGACCCTCCATGCCTGCAACCTTGTGCTCTGGGTCTTTGTCATAAATGATGCAGGATCGATTTGACGAAACGATCCATCGCAAAAGGTACAGTGCGGCGGGGGAGATGCGTTCTTTCCACGCGTCGAGAGACCGATGGCTAGAACTGCCTTTGATGAACTCGACCATCGAGGCAACTCCCGGGAGCGTATCGAGTAACCTCACGAGCATCACCTGCTTTTCCGCCAGTGTCAAGTTATCGAAGTCTTTGTTGTACAGCGTAACCATCACGCTTGGAGATCCGGACTTTGTGGGCTCCGGATTATCCTTGCCCTCGTAGATAGGCCCTGAGAGAGTGTAGGAACCATCATCGTTGTGCATGCGAACACAATAATGAATTGGAGTGATTATTTCGTTCTGGTTTCTCAACTTCCTTGTAAGAACAATCCACTCGCCGACCTTTAACTCGAGTCGTCCCTGCGGAACGAGCGTGTCACCAACCAGTTTTGCCTGAACAGCCTGTTTCGAATTCAGATTCGGATTGGGGACTTTGAGAGGAAGGTCGAGACAGTCAGTCAGCGATTTTGCCTTGGCACGCCGGTAGGCGAAGGACACGAGTAGATCCACGACCTCAGGATGATGCACAATCTGCCACTCCAGCTTCGGTCCCTTGCCACATTCTAGATATTGGAACAGACAGAGCCGCTTCGAGCAAACGTACGGGTTCAGTGCCTGGAAGCTGGCAGCGGTCTTGCAGTAACATACTAGACAGAATTCGCTGGCACGGGTGAAGCGCCGGAGCGCATATTGCATCGCAATGCGGGGTAAGGACAGCCTCTTTTCGTCCCGAATGCATCGGAGGTCATCTTTTTGAACAAAACCGGGAATCCAGGTACTCCAGGCCTCTTCCACAAAATACTTCGGGTCTCTATCATCTTCCATGCCGGGTTTTGTGCCTTGTTGAGTATCATAGTAGTGCTCGGCCCCTGTCCAGGAGTAGCCGTGATCGATTCTAAGCTGTATGAGGTCCAGCAGCCGTTCGTTGAATAGATCCGTAAGCATTTCCGTGACAAATGAGGATCTCAATCGCCCGAGAGCAGGATCTGCTGTGGGATCTGGAATCGTACCGCTCGTGTCCTTCAGTTCTTGTCCGGGGGGATGGAGAGCTTTTAGGGTAGACGCCAGCATGGGCTTATACGAGTCGCAAAGACCGACGTACATTTGCGGCTTCTGCAACGGATTAGATCGAGCCTTATCGTCCAAGCCGTAGTACTTGTAAGGGTATTTGATGAGGAGAACCAAATAGTCGGATGGAGAGACATTCCACAATTGAAGCGCATCGTTGGAGATGTTCAGCCGAGCAACACGACAAGAGGTGACTACGATGACGCGGCCTTGCATGTCGCCCAGAACTCCAACTTTGATTCCGGAATGTTTCGCAGCCTGAAGGTCTTTTCGCAGGCGCTCATGAACCTCGTGCCAGTCGGGACCGTGGTCCGTGTCCAATTCCATCTCACCGTCGGTGTCGAAGTCATAACCCTCACCCTCGGAGCTGGCATCCATAGTATTGTCGTCGCTTTGACCAGTTAAGCGGTCCAAGAAGCCTTGGAGAAGTGCGTTCAGAGGCCGGCCATTGTATTTAGAGCCAATAGACTGAATTGTCTGGGCAACAGGATCGGAGATACCTTCGTCGCCCCAGATCAAGTACTCATGCTGAGTCGGGTATGCGGATAGATCTAGTGGTGAAGCGCTTGGTTAGCCGAGATCAGGACACTGGAGTTTGCAAGGAATGTAACTTACCTGGAATGAGGAGTTGGATACAACTTTGATGACCAGTTGGATCACTGTAGGTGAAAGTGAAGGTGTCATCTTGCCGAAGCTCGAAGCCAGTCAACTGAGGATGAGAGGCCTGTCTAGCGTCCCGCAAGAAGTCGGCGCGAGGCATGCTGATAGACTCAGGAGGTAGAGATAGAGAGGGGTGAGGTAGGAGGAGAAATGATGAAAGAGAGATGAAAGAAGGATGGAACAAAGGTGGTGGTCGAGGCAGCGGAGAGACAATCCGTGAGATAGATAAAGCCTGGGCGGATGATGCAAAGTAAGCAGCTTCCTAGTGAATGTAGCAGCGACAGAAATAGAGCATGTGTTGAAAGCTCTAGACTGTGCTCAATCTGCCTTTTCCAGTAATTCACCACTTACGCTAGTCCACGATCAAAGCAACAGAATTTATCGAGTCCCTTTGACGATGATGACCTCAGACGTGCAAGGCTGCGGTCGTCGACTTATTTCTCCTGGTAAATAGAAGGAGGTTCCTCTAATTTTGCCAGTGATTGCACGTTGAATTATTCTAAGATTACTGAGCAGATTTGCGACTTGATATAGGAGTGCCTGAGCCAATGACAAGACAGATTCAGTAGCTGTGATCTCTTTATTTTGATCGGACAAAGGTGTATGGTGCCAATAGGCTCAAAGCATCGCCGGAAAGTCTTGTTTTCTGCTTCAGAAATGAAAAGGAACAAAGAACAACGAAAACCAAGGCACAGACAAAAGAAGACTGGATTGTCTATCTACACAGTAGTCCGGGTGTTAGAGGAATGCAGTCCGACTAAGGAAATAGCATTCGAATGATTTGTTATTGTAAGATTCTGTAGTTCGACTCGGGAAGTTCGACGGATATCCGAAAGCACTAAGAGGCACTGCCGCGGGCTGTTTCGATCATTCGCCGCAAGGTGTAACTTATAGTATACTATATTACTTTCTCAGTCAGATTGGCGATGCGGTAGCTCAGAATGATTCTATAGGGCAACTGGATCTAAACTCCAATGTTTGGTAAGTGTACTACAGTTCCAACATGATCCAAAAATAGTTAGCAAAGCATTGTAGGTGTAAGAGAAAGCCCCACCACTCAACCGACCGAGGGAGTGTCTTTTCTCCCCGAAGCGGAAATTCTGTTCGTATTCGTTCAGTTTTACTTCACACTTGCAGCCATGCAGTTTGACTTTCGAGGCAAAAGCTTGGATTGGGCCCACTGAATAAGTGTAACCTCGCCCCATAAAGACCCTGAAGCCCTCTTCACTCTCCAATTTCCCTTCAACGTTGTTCTCCCCCGAGCGCATTTGGGAAACGTCCGTCGCCTTTCCTCGCTATTATTCACCATGCCTCTGAGCATACATCTCAACAACCAGAAGCGCTGGTACTCGGGGGGTGAAACGATAAGCGGTCACGTCAAGTTCCAGTGTACTCAAGCGACCGAAATCGAGGACATCCGGGTGAGCTTCACCGGGCGCACCAAGGCCAAAGTCCAGAAAGTCAAGGGATCGGCGGCTCCTTCAGCCAGCTATCGCAGCAAATGTGTGCTGTTTGAGAAAGAGAGAATCCTGTCGCATCTCGATGGCGGAAAATTGGATCCAGTGACGTACGAGTGGCCATTTACTTTCACGTTTCCTGCCTATGTTCAGTCGCCAGGCCCGTCATCCGGATGGTCCGAGAAGCCTCCTTTCCGCAGCGATGTAAATCACCCGCTACCGCCGTCGTTTGCAGCAGAGACGGGGGACTCCCTTCGTAACTTGGAATGCGTGATCGACTACCGAGTACAGGCTGAAATATCCAAGCCACAGAGAGGTCTCCTGGGGAAGAAATCAGCCTTGTTCAAGGAGACGCAGCACTTGAGATATCTTCCCTCAGCACCGAACGCGGAGAAAAGCGGTGACCAGTCTGCCCTTTATCGACAGCAAAGAGAGGAAGTGTTCGAAATCCGCAGTATCTTGCTCCTTCCTGAAAACAAAGGGCGAAGTTTAACCTTCCAAGAGAGATTCCAATCATGGGCTTCGACCAAACTGCCCCGTTTCAGCTTCAAAGCGACGTTCTCCTATCCCACTTGCGTCAAGCAAGCATCGACTATCTCATGCTTCTTAGATATCCTCCCATTTATGGAAGACTCATCTGTCGGCCAGCCTCCGGATATTGTATTGCAGTCTTTGTCATTGTGGATTGTCAGTCAAACCGCTGCTCGGGCTGCGCCTTCTCTGATAGGAGCCTTGTCAGGACAGGTGGACGAAAAGATCGACTTGCTAAGTCAAAGTCATATCGCGATGCCTGTTATGGGGACTTTAGATTTGTCCCAAGCCTTCGGATCACTGATGCTTGGCCGGCCGGACATATCTTTCAGCACATTCAATCTCAGTAGATCCTACAGACTTTGCGCATCCTTTGTGTTTGAGTGCGCTGGAAAGTTGGTTGAATTCAATCTCACCGATATGCCATTTGACGTGGTGGCCCAAGTTGAAGCGACAATGGAGGAAGAGGCACAGAGTTCTTGCGCGCAGGGCTCTCCGCCGCCATATGACCCTGCTTCTAGCATATCGACATAGAATGACAAAAGATAGACGTCTAGCCCCGTGTGGACGGTGCGACGTGGGCTTCAATCGTTGTATCGGGCCGGGCCTTGACAATACGGTCGGATTGGAAACTCCCAGATGCAGGGATCGCATGAGGGTGGGATTGGCGATTCGAGAGTTGGCTCTGGTGATGCTATAGCTGACTGGATTGCAAGCTAGACATGGGTTGAACCCTGAGCATTTGTTAAATTGCGAAATACAATATCCTCGTCTGCTGCCCCGGGAGGGAGCCAAGCCTCCGAATAATCGCTCAGGCGCTGCAGAAGCAGCAGAACCAGTTAAGCATGAACTATATTCATATTCATGATATGATCCTCGAGCTTCGCCAACTGGTTGATCAAATACGTACTCCTCGAGGGAATATCGAGATTGAACCAAAAGACCAAGTACCTTATCAATGGGAGTTGAATGTAATATTGACATCTCGGTACCAACAGTCATAATCATAACAAAGCTCCGGACGTCCTCAGAAATAGTGTGAGACCTTAGCCAGATATCCAGTGGCAGGGCGCACAAATAAAACAATAATGGTTGAACTTCGTAGAGCCATCCGTCCAGTTCACAGAAAAGCTTAAGTTCAAGGTCGGTATTCGAAGTTCAAGTGTCAGAATATTGCCTTGGTATGAGGTAAACCTTGTAGCCCTGGGATAGCAACCTTTGAGAATTCCTATGTATTGCGAGCTTGAATTCCTGAAGAGAAGTCGTGAAGGCTAGTAAAACAGGTGTGGGTGCGCCGGGGACTAGAGCATGATATCACAGCTTTCTGCAAAGTTGGTGGATGATTCAGAAATGACTGGGATACCTTGCCTGTGCTCATTACTGAATAAGAGCTAAGTTTCGATTAGAAGACAGATTTGTTGGTGAGGTCCATGACTGGAATGAAGTACACTCGAGGTTCTTCGCTGGTCCGTTCTTCCTCGTATAGCCAGTTCAACCTTGACTGTTCTCAACTTGCGACAACGATCATCAGTTACAATCGCCAGCGAGGCTCAGCACCGACTGCAATCGGTCAGAATTCTTGATGCAGAACAATCTTTGAGAAAGAGTATCCCCAACCCTCTTATATTGTGGATCTTGGACTAACTCTGTCTACGATTGCTTCCAGAAACAATTTCCTCCGGCTCCACGAGTTCGGCAAGCCTTGACACAGCCCATGTCTCCTTCCAACTCCCGAAAATACCAGTGCGTTACTTTCAACTACTCGGCCATTTCCTAAAGACATCGACGGGAAACAAGTCTGGGTGTACGCTTGGCACTACAGGTAGAACAAGCGTCGGGACAATTCATGAAAAGAGAGCCGTGATGCTCAAGAACTGGATAAGCGGATTACGATAAATGACCGTATTGTCGTCATCCGGTTTGAGCTCGACCGTATCTAGCGGATCATGGAACAGTATCATCCTAGATGGTTCTTGTTGCCCACCGAACTGCTTTCAAGTCAATCTCCAGCTGGTACCGTGCTGGCACTGGCAGTATCTCGAGAGCTGTCCCGTCCGGAATTCCGGTTGCGCGCGGTGGTTGAACCGGTGGATATGGCAGTACTCTGCAGTCTTCTTCTGCTCCGTAGAGATCAAAAACGTCAGGCTTATGACCAAGAGCAAGGCCAAAGTCGGCGGGGCCAGCACATACTAGTTCTGCGTCGTGGCTGTTGAGGGATGAACGCAAAGACGGGGGGGAAGCCAGAATCTGTAGTAAAGGACCTTGGAATCGAATGAGATTATTTGCCCACTACTTGGGTTTATAATCACGAGGTTGACTCCAAGAAATAGAGATAGCCAGTCCTACAAACCCGTGCCGCAAAACCTTTATAATCCACAACATTCAAAGACAGCTTCGGCACAGCTATCTGAAGCCTCCAGGGCATATAGACCTTTCTCATTGATACAATTGTCTTGTATAACATGACTAGATTGTTTGCCTAGTTGATTCTAGACCAGCTACCCTCAACCTAAAAGTATAGTTCTTGTTCACCGGAGCAATTCAGCTAATCGATTTCACTATGCGAGCTGTAAAGATATTTGGTATATACAAAACTAGATATATCCAACATTAAAACCACTCATCGAGTCAAATTCACTAGATCCCTGCTGGTAGAGGCATCCATAGCTGATAATGAGGGTTGGGGGGTGTCTCATTCACTGTGGACCGGCGCTCTCTCCCCCCACGCTCTCCCCGTCCGTCCCCTCCTCCCTCCTCCGCTTCCTCTTCTTCCTCTTCCTCTTCTCTTTCTCCTTCTCCTCTTCTTCCTCTCCCCGGACAAGTAGCTTAACACGTTCGTGAGTATAATCCTCTTTCGAGTCCTTTTCATCAGCTTCCATCGAAAAATCATTGCTTCTTATCTTCATTCCCATTTCTGTTCATGTCATGTATCTATTACCTTGTTTTTGATGTATCTGACGTGTGAGGCGAGCTTGTCAATAAGTCTGGCTTCACGGAGCATCCCCATCTTCTATCATCCTTTTGTCATGCTTCGTCTCAGCTTCATCTCAGCTTCATCTCTCTGCTATCTTGTATCTCATTGATGCCCGTGAAACAAGCCTGTTTGTACGCGAGCAATCCTGAATCATCTTGTCTCATCTCTTCTGTCTCACTTCATCCTATTTCATCTCTTCTTATCCAGTGTATCCCAGTGTATCCCAGTGTATCCCAGTGTATCCCAGTGTATCCCAGTGTATCCCAGTGTATCCCAGTGTATCCCAGTGTACCCCAATCCATCCCAATCCATCCCCTATCACCCTATTCCTATGGTTTTTGCAATGGCTAACGATCGATCTAGGCTAATCAAAATGCCTCAAGTGGAAGAAGTAAGTCGTCCGTGGCCCTTAAAAAAGATTTCAGTATTAGTACTAATTAACCCTCCAGACTCGAGATTGCTACCATTGCGGCAAGAAAGGACACTTGCAGGCGAATTGCCCCGAAATAGTGAAGAAGGAAGAGATTGAAACTCATGCTCAGTTTGTAAGTATATTCCCTTATTCTTCTTAGGTTTATAGGAAGTGCTAATCTGTCATTCAGTTTGTCGCCGTGAGTATAGTCAGCCTGTGATACCAACTAAGTCTAACGACGGACTAGATTAAGAGAGAAATGTCCACCTCCCCCGCCC